GAGCGCTGGCACTGAGTGAGGGATGACACCGAGCGCTGGCACTGAGTGAGGGATGACACCGAGCGCTGGCACTGAGTGAGGGATGACACCGAGCGCTGGCACTGAGTGAGGGATGACACCGAGCGCTGGCACTGTGTCAAGGACGACACCGAATGCTGGCACTGAGCGCTGGCACTGAGTGAGGGATGACACTGAGCGCTGGCACTGAGTGAAGGAGGACACTGAATGCTGGCACTGTGTGAAGGAGGACACTGAATGCTGGCACTGAGCGCTGGCACTGAGTGAGGGATGACACTGAGCGCTGGCACTGAGTGAGGGATGACACTGAGCGCTGGCACTGAGTGAAGGAGGACACTGAATGCTGGCACTGAGCGAAGGAGGACACTGAATGCTGGCACTGAGCGCTGGCACTGAGTGAGGGATGACACTGAGCGCTGGCACTGAGTGAAGGAGGACACTGAGCGCTGGCACTGAGTGAAGGAGGACACTGAGCGCTGGCACTGTGTGAAGGAGGACACTGAATGCTGGCACTGAGTGAAGGAGGACACTGAATGCTGGCACTGAGTGAGGGATGACACTGAGCGCTGGCACTGTGTGAAGGAGGACACTGAGCGTTGGCACTGTGTGAAGGAGGACACTGAGTGGGGACGGCCTCGTGTGCCGTTATAGAAGGAACGAGGTAAGGCAGTAGAATGCGGCAGGAAGTGACATGAATGTCCAGCTGGTGACACGGGGGACATATGTTTTGGAGCACAGGGCAGCACATGTGTACCTGGCCCCGGTGCCGGCCTCTCATTTACTACGATCACATGTTGGTGTGTGTTCCCTCATACGCACCGAGCCCCCCGCGCCCCATCAGCCCTCCTCTTCCCCCCACTCTACACACAGGCTGAGCGCTGTCCCCCGCACTGTACCTCTCTCTGCTTCTCACCCGAAGCGAATCCACAAGCCCAACAACACAAGATGGCTGACGCCACGCACCGTCACCTGACGACTCCACGCCTCGCGTGAGCGGTGACAGAGCAGCGTGCCAGCACTCCACCACAGAGTTCCCTTCCTTTGCTAGACGGGATACTTCACGTACACCTCGTCACTGGGGCCTTCCCTGGCTGCGGAGTGGCCCACGTGACCTCCAACAGCTCGTAGCGCGGGGCGGCCATGTTGGATGTGGGCAAGCCGCCCTGACTCGTGTCATTTCCTATTACGGGGTGTTAGTGAAGAAGAGGAAGTGGGCAGAAAAGTTGGTTGTGCTGGGGGTGGGGGAAGAGAAATGCTACCATGGGGATGATGCAATGAGGAGTATGTTGTATGTTCATGTCAGGACTCCACAGAAACGTGTGCTTTGGTGTGTAGAGGGGTGCAATATGGTGGGTGCTACATGTAGTAGAGTGTAGTAGGGTGCTACATCTAGTAGGGTGCAGTGTTATGGGTGCTGAATGTAGTGGGGGTGCCATTTGATGTAGGGATGTCCCGATACCACTTTTTCAAGACCAAGTACAAGCACTTCCCCTCATGTACTTGCTGGTACCAATTATCCATACTTTTTCTTAAAGGGACAGGTGACATTTTAAAAAAACAATACAGACTAATGATTTCAGGCCAATTTCTTTATGATTATGACAAACTTTTTTTAAGACTGTTTTAGAACAATAAAACATTTCTATCCGTTTTGATACAGCTGTATAATCTGTATAATGGGTGCTGCATATAGTGGGGTGCAGTGTGAAGTGTTCTGCATTTAGTGGGGTGAAGTTTGATGTCTAAATGTGCAATTTGTTGCGTACTGGGGTGTAGTCTGATGGGTTGTGCATGTAGTGGGGTGTAATTTGATGTGTAGAGGGGTGAAGGATGATGGGTGCATCATGCAGTGGGCTGAGGTTCGATGTGTACTGGGGTGCAGTATGATGGGTGCTGCATATAGTGGGGTGCAGTATGATGGGTGCCGCTTATAGTGGGGTGAAGGGTGTTGCATATAGTAGGATGCAGTTTGAAGTGTAAAGAAGTGCAGTATGGTGGGTGCTGCATGTAGTGGGGTGCAATTTGACTTGTACTGGGGTACAGTGTGACATGTTCTACATGTAGAGGGGTGCAGTTTGATGTATACAGTGGTGCAATGTGATGGGTGCTACATGCAGTGGGGTTCAGTTTGTTGTGTAAAGAGGTGAGGTGTGGTGGGTGCTGTATGTAGTGTGGTACAGTTGAAGGTGTACTGGGGTACAGTGTGAAATGTTCTACATGCAGTGGGGTTCAGTTTGTTGTGTAAAGGGGTGCTGTATGTAGTGTGGTACAGTTGAAGGTGTACTGGGGTACAGTGTGAAATGTTCTACATGCAGTGGGGTTCAGTTTGTTGTGTAAAGAGGTGCTGTATGTAGTGGGGTACAGTTGAAGGTGTACTGGGGTACAGTGTGAAATGTTCTACATGCAGTGGGGTTCAGTTTGTTGTGTAAAGAGGTGCTGTATGTAGTGTGGTACAGTTGAAGGTGTACTGGGGTACAGTGTGAAATGTTCTACATGCAGTGGGGTTCAGTTTGATGGGTGCTGCATGCAGTGGGGTTCTGTTTATTGTGTAAAGAGGTGCAGTAATGGGGGGTGCTGTATGTAGTATGGTGCAGTTTTATGTGTACTGTGGTGTAGCATGATAGATGTTGCAGTGGACCCTGTGAAGACATGTGTGCCCCGTACCCTCCCATCAAACTACAACAAGGAGAGATGAGACAATAGGATACTGAACGATGTCTCACTATTCTGCCTGATGCCGGGGGTGACTCACTATAGTGACCTTGTCCCACTCTTATGTTTCTATGGAGTTGCTCCCTTGCTGGCCAGAAAACTGCAGAAGCTCCATCACTGTCCCAGCTAATGAGGCAGCGATGCCATACAAACAGGTCTCTGGAGTGGGTTTTTTTATCCGCTCTACCAGTCCTGTTGCTAGCACATTATTCCCAGTGTCGAGTCTTCTCTTGTGACATAAGTCTAACCATCATATAGCCTAAAAAACTATTGTATGGCAAGGGCCTGCGGCTGGAACCGGGCCTGCAGCTGGAACCGGGCCTGCAGCTGGAACCGGGCCTGCGGCTGGAACTAAGCCTGGCCATTTTTGCCTTATGCGTTTTCCATTCAAATCAATAGAACTGCATCAAAACGTGTCATGCACATTGCATGTCAATGTATGTCATGAACGCATGTTGTTGAGCGCTTACATATGTTGATGCACATTATAACACACATTAACGTGTTTTGAAGCATTGTCAATGAAAATGGCTACAAAAGGTATGTATGTTTCCAGTCCAAAGCAAAAAAAAAAGGTCTATAATGTGTACTGTCAGCTGCAGTGTTTGGTTTTAAAGTGTATCTAAACCCAAGAAGAAGAATTATTTTTCTTTATTTTCACCTGGTGATCCCGCCAGTAACACACTTCCTGTCCTATGGTGACCGTGCTCAGGTACTGTACTGTATTAAGGAGCAGAATGGTCACTCTAGGATAGGACTACAGAACATCGCCATAATATGTTCTACATTGTACCTGGGACATACACTGTGGTCTCTGCCAGTGTATAAGGGTCCACACTGGCAGAGAGCACGCAAGTTAGGAACTTACTAGATTTCTGGCAGGATTCCCAGGTATTTGTTTGTACTTATGGAGCGGATATAACGAAACACGTTTAATGATATATTTAACAGACCAAAAAGGACCAAATCCGAGACGTTCATTGTTAGGGATTACATACCCTGTAAAGGAGGTGTAATGTCCCAGCATATCCTATCCTGGTATAACATCAGCCTTGTAATAGGAATACATACTGGAGTTGTTATTGATAATATAATCAAAGCTTACTGGAAAAAATCCCTTTTATATAGTGAGTGCCGCCTTCTGTCTGCCCATCACTTTCATCTACTTCCTGGATTCCCAGTGTGCTTTGCACCTCTTTCCCTGCTGCTTGATGTGATGCAATCTCAATTTCTCAAGACTACACATCCCATCATGCATTGCTTCCAGCAAGCAATGATAATGTTACATTGTTCAGAAGCTGAGCTGTAGTTCAGAAGGCAGGCTCTGTGAGAGTGGTGACACAAGGAAGTGCATAGTCACGTGGCAGATTGTGTCAGTGCATTGAGGAAGTACATTTTATGGACATCTTCAACAAGTTAGTTTACAAACTAGATCAATATGGTAATTCAAGCAGGCTGAATTTTCTCACACGCACCAACACACATTGCAATTGGGGAGACACTGGGTAATAGTGATCACAATGTGATTACTTTCAATATTAAATACAGGAAAGGAAAGAGGGCGGGACGGACAAGAACCCTAAATTTCAGAAGGGCAAACTTCGATAAGCTGCGCAAACTAGTGGGGGAAATAAAATGGGAAAACTCATTTCACAACCTAAACTCAGACCAAATGGGACTGCTTCAGGAACACATTACATATTGCTATTTCAAAGTGTATACCTTTGGGTAACAAAAGATCAAAGACTAAACCTATATGACTAAATAAAACTGTAAAACTACATGTTAAGGCAAAGAGAATGGCATTTATAAAATATAAGATGGAGGGGACGGCATTGGCGTTCCTAAATACAAGGAATGTAACAAAAAATGCAAACTAGAAATCCGGGCAGCTAAAATAGAATGCGAAAAGCATATCGCCGCAGATAGTAAAAAAAACCTTAAAACATTCTACCAATATATTAACAGTAAAAAGGTGAGAAAGGAGCAGATAGGCCCAATAAAGGATGGAAGCGGGAAGCTAGTCACAAATGACAAGGAGAGGGCCGAGGCGCTGAACAATTTTTTCTCCTCAGTATACACTCGGGAGGGAAATGGGTTTGACGTACGTGATACAACACATAGTTCAACCGATAATATACCACAATGGTTGGCGGAAACCGGGATAGAACAAAGACTTAAAATGCTCACCTCATAGTTCCAGCCGACCTGTGACAATGAGACTGTCACAGGTCAGCTCAGTAGATCGGGAGGTGAGCAAACACATACCGGCATTCGCTCACCTCTCGATCCTGTCACGGCTCTCTGCCGTGACAGGGGAGGGGCTGGATTCCCCACGATCCGCCAGCGATTCCCCCCGATCCGCCAGCTGCAGTTAGGGTCTGGAACTCACTGCCATCGGCAGTGATTTCAGCTAAGAGTGTAGAATTGTTCAAGAAACTTTTCGACGATTTCTTGAGGGACCGTAATATCCAGGGATACCAGTATCCCTAAGAATGAGATGATGTGTGGACCTATATGGGTTGGACTTGATGGACGTATGTCTTTATTCGACCCCAAATACTATGTAACTATGTAACACATACAACCTAAAATGTCTGGTGACAACCACGTTTCTTTGCACGCTTCCTCCACTAACGTTTCCTGTAACACCCCAGTGACTGAAGCTTTCCAACCAACAACCACATGTTGGTGCGCACTATTAACAAATACGTCTGACCAAGCCAAAGTAACTGTCGGCGCAGTGAAATGATGCGCCTTCTACTCTCCCTAATGTCTGCCACATACTCGTCTCCAAGCCTTCAGCCATCTTATCAGCAGATCTTCACAAGTTGGCCCTTGCAGTGTTCATTGTGGTCTAGAGAAAGGAATTCTCGATCCTGCGGCAATGAACACTCACCTCCGCTCGGGCTGTGGATAGTCCCTCGTTGTCCTTACGTCTAATACAATTGAACAGACCTTGCATAGATGTGATGATGTCAGTGGGGTTTAGACTGTCAGAGGCTGGGGGGACCGGTCTAGCAGCCAGGTGAGAAAGTTGAGCACCATATTTTTTGCTCCATAAGACGCACTTTTTTCCCCCCAAAAGGAGGAGGAAAATATGCCTGCGTCTTATGGAGCGAATCCCTATCGCCCGACGCCCGGGACATGCAGTTTCGGGCGCCGGGGGCGAGTAGTTTTTTTGTACATTCAGCCCTGCTCCGGACAAGCAGAGCTAAATGTACAGCGTGGGGCCGCCGCTCGTTGATCTAATCAGATCACTTGTATCAAATCGAGCAGCGGCAATCGTGTCCGGGGCCCCCCGCCGTGTTTTCCGAGGTCCCTTGCTTCTCTGGGGGACCCGTGACCACGGCATAGGAGCTTACCTTAGAGACCGTAGAGCAGACCAA